AACTAATAAGAAACTCTATTTTTTTTTTACTAACTTTTTCCTCTCTATATTTTTCTTCTATATTAAAACAAATGAAGACCACCACTTATTATACTAAAAAAAGTCTTCCTATCAATGAATATGAAGATAATGATTTGCTAAATAGTGAAGATAAATGGTCGTAGGAGTTACATAGGTTACAAGAGAAATTAAATGAAAGCTGTCAAATAAGTCTTGATATGGTTTTTGGTGACCCATTGACCAATAGTTGGTCAAATCCTCTTTAAAATGTAATTAAGTAAATTTGGGACTAAATTAACATTTTAAATTTTTTTTAATCTTTTATAAAATACAAAAGAACACTTCATTTTTTAACTTTTATAATTCTATCCAATTCATTTTTAAAAAAAAAATTAAAAATAGAATTTTCTCTTCTTCTCAAAATATTCTCTCTTCTCTTTTAGAAAATCTAAAAATCTGACGATCAGAACAAATATTCTCCCCCATTATCTTATCATCCTTCTCATCTCCGGTCGTGACTATCTCGTCTTTATGAACTGAAAATTGTATTCGATTTAAAATGGGTAAGTCATTTTTTGAGAGATTTTACAATTTTGCAACAATACTATGCTTTTTTCTTGGATTAATGAAGAATAAATTATTCTATAGATGTGAAAAATGAATAATAATGTAATGGTACCTATTATATATTGTTTTAGAAAGAAAATTAACTAACCCAAAAAGTCAAATCTTTGAGAAAATGTATATTTAAGGTTAACATTAAGTTGAAAATTTATTTTTTGTTGTTCTTTTTGTAACCAGTTTGTTCATATGATTTAAGAAATATAGTTTTTTTCACTTGTCTAACAAATATGAAGTGTAAGAGATTGGAAAAATCTATTTCTCAATCACTATCTATAATTAGTGAAAGAAAAAAACAATGACTACTGCTCTGTATCACACTCAAACCCAAAAGGCAAGGAAAACATGAAGTGGAAGGAGAAGGACCTAAAGCTGGAGAAGAAAAAATTGAAAAAGAAAGCGAAAGAGAAAGAGAAAGAGAAAAAAGTCAAAGTCGTCAATTGTGATGTGTAGCAACAATATTGACCATTGATTAGATTGATGGTTATGTATACCATTGTGAATTACTTTTTTGTTGATAAGTTGTATAAAATAATTGGTAAAATGTTTATTTTTGCTGATAATATTAATGAATTTTTTTAAACAAATGTCAATTATGATGGAAAAGAAGAAATGTGGTGTATGTGACAACAGGTATAACTTATGTTGTAAAAATCCACCCACAGAATTATCACATGTGCTCCAATCGAAAGGATATATGTGACAACATATATAATCTATGTTGTAAAAAACACCACAGAATTATCTATATGTGCCCCAACAGAAAGGATATATGCGACAACATATGTCACAGAAAGAAGATATGTGGCAACATATGTCTCATAAAGAAGATATGTGACAACATATGTCAGAGGAAGGAGATATGTAGTAACATATGTCACAGAAAGGAGATAATGTGCCAACATGTCATTGTTACCAATGTGGTGTCTATTGAAACATATATAACCTTTTGTTGTAAAAAAAAAACCAATAGAATTATCTGCATGTACCCCAACAGAAAGGATATATGTGGCAACAAATGTCACATTATGAACTGTCAAAAAAAAATTTAAAAAGTAAATAAAAATGTCTAAAACAATCGCCCTTGATTTTCCCTCTCTCCTCTCCTTTATAAAAGGTTGTTTCATTTCATATTTCAAATTTAATTTATTTTTACTAATTTTATTTTTCTTTTCTCTCTTTCCTCTCTCTCATTATTTCTTTACAGTTCAAATTGTTGCTATGTTTTCTACAATATCAGTGGTAATATGTTGCGATTTTTTTCTCCAACAAAGTGTCGTTGCCCTCATCATTTCTAGTTTATCGTTGATATCTTTTAAGATAAAATTTAATAGTTATTGGCATTAAATCAGGACTTTTGAAGTGGTTTTTTCACTTATTTGTTTGTAGGATGTTGGGTTGTTATTCCTTTTGAAATATTATCCGATTAAAAATAATACATTTTAGGATGTACATGTTGTCACATATGACATGTCTGTTACGTTTTCTCCAACAAAACGTGTATGTTGTCACATATGTCACTTCAAGGTTGACTTAATCGATAAATTGAACGATTTAGGAATGAAAAAATGTCAAATTGGATCAAATTGTAATACTTTGGACCATAATTAAACAATAAAAATATGTTATAACACTCGAAACAACAATTTACGTGGGTGTTATATAACCATCATATGAAGTTACTTGATCATTGTATGATGAATTAGTGATATAATTGTCTTTGTGAAAATAATTGATAAAATTGATGAAAGTTATTGTGTTAGACCATATTTTTATGCTTAGACATGTTGTATGACTATATATTAGTGTTACATGTTGAATTAGGTGACAACTTAATTGAATTAACCCCAAAAGACCATTTTATGATATACATATGTTGTCACATATAACATGTTTGTTGCAATTTTTCCAACAAGACGTGCATATGTTGCCACATATGCCACTTCAAGAATGGGTTAATCGATAAATTGAACGACTTAGGAATGAAAAATGTCAAATCGGATCAAATTTTAGTACTTAGCACCATAGCTAAGCAATAAAAATATGTTATGACAATTGGAACAACGATTTACAAGGGTGTTATATAACTATCATATGAAGTTACTTACTCATTGTATGATGAACGAGTGATATGATAATCTTTGTAAAATAATTGATATAATTGAGAAAGGTTGTTATATTAGACTATAATTTCGTACTTAGACATGTTGTAAGACTATATATTAGTGTTACATGTTGAATTAGGTGACAATTTAATTCAATTAACCCTTATGATATACATAAGTTGTCATATGTGACATTTCTGTTGCAATTTTTCCAACAGAATGTGCATATGTTGTTACATATGTCATTTCAATGATGGATTAATTAATAAATTGAGCAATTTAGAATGGACAAATGTCGAATTGAACCAAATTTTATTGTTTTGAACCAACATTATGCAATAAAAATATACTATAACACTTAAACAATGATTTATAAGGGTGTTATATAACTACCATATGTACTTACTTGATCATTGTATGATGAACTAGTGGTATGATAGTCTTTGTAAAAATAATTGATAGAATTGATGAAGGTTGTTGTATTAGACCATAATTTTGTACTTAGACATGTTATAGGACTATATATTAGTGTTACATGTTGAATTAGGTATTATGATATACACATGTTGACAAATATGACATTTCTATTGTAATTTTCCCAACAAAAGATACATATGCTGCCACATATGTCACTGCAAGGATGACTTAATCGATAAATTGAGTTATTTTGGAATGGGAAAATGTCAAATTGGATAAAATTTTAGTACTTTGAACCATAATTAAGCAATAAATATATGATATAACACTTGAAACAATGATTTACAAGGGTATTATAACTATCATGTCAGTTGCGACAAGTAAGTCATTTGTTGCCACATGTCTAGCTCATGTATTGCAACTTGTGTAAGTGATATGTTGTAACATATGTCTATTCTGTTGCTATTGAAATAATATTTCTATTGCTACATATTACTATAATTTGTTTGAATAGCCAATTGTTGCAACATATAGCAATTTGTTTGAAACGCGAATGCAAATTATTGAAAAAATTCCAAGTGCCCAGATGATGATAAATGATTTCAAAGAACTATTAATTTTACATATCAAAACAATGGTGTGTGGCCCTAATCATTTATGAAGTAATTTCAATTGATAGCAAATGAAATCTGATCCATTGATTAAATTAGTCAAATATGATTCAAGAAGAAAAAAAGAAGAAAGCTCAAGGACTAATAGCCAAGACCAATACTGTACGAAAAGAAGAAGAAAAAGATAAAGAGAACAGGAAGAAAGACAAGCAAGCAAACAACAACAAGAAGAAGAAAAATATAACGAGAGTAGAAATTAGGTTATTTATTTCCCCTTTTGGTACAATTTGCTGGTGGCTTTCCACAATTTTAATTCCCAACAAAATTAGTTAAATTAGGTTTTAGTCAATTTATCTTTTTACCCTTCATTTAATTCAATAAATCAAAATGTCAACTTATAAACTTGAGGACAACTCCACAATTTGTTAATCATTTATCACATAATTGTCATCTACACCCAATACTTAAGACTTAACCGCCCATTTGAAACCTTACTGTCACTTTTTTTTTAAAAATCTCAAGTTACAAAATATAATGAAGGAATAATGATGAAATTAAAGCCATTACACGTTCCGCCAAAAACCACTAAGTGGTCAATAGAAATCCCAACGTTCACCACATTGAATCACTAATAAGATTGGCAATTAAGCCAAATATGCACCTAGGCCACTATGCCTAACTTCTGGCATGAGTTAATCAAAATAAGGGAAACCATTTTAACATAATTAAAAAAATATTAAAATGCTCACACAATCTCACATAACCAACACCAAACATAGAAAATGAAAATTGGTAAAAAAATTATTAAAATGCTCACACAATCTCACAGAACCAACACCAAACATAAAAAATGAAAATTGGCCTACAAGTTAGAAAGACAAAATGAGTTGGTAGAAGAGAGGGGGAGGTGGAGACAATGGTATTCCCAACTATATTTAGGCCAGATACAAGTTAAATATTTCTAAGAATAAACTAAATATGTACCATTTAAAATATGGTGGAAACTGGCCATGTTATTAATTTTGGACGCACCACATTTAGATAAATTTGGCCAAACATGCTAAAAATTAATAACCAAACAAAAAAGGTCTCAAAATTTAGTCTATCAATATAAAAGATAATAGCAATAACATATCCATCGTCACATAAAAGGAGACACAACATCCTTCAAAAGTAACAAGTTGTCTTAAGTTTTAAAATCCCTGATAAAATAAAATAACAAAACGAAACAAATTCATCATAATTTTTAATCAGAGCAACCCAATAGTGCTTTGATTTTTAAAACCGTATAGCTCAAAAGGTTATGAATATAAGCCATTTCCTCCTCATGTTGGTCTTGGGAGATTGAATTATTTGCAAAATTCAACTTCTGAAAAGCCACTGTCAAGATTGATCCATTTTTTACATTTTCATTATTGTCGGTGAGGCGGCCATCAGGACTTATGATGATACCTGAAGGCAAAATAAAAACTTCTTCCGCATTACCTCCACTGAGAAATGACTTGTATGCTGTTGAATCTATTAGTCCATAGATTAAAAAAGCTCCCATTTTATCGATGCCTGACTCTTGAAGAAGTACCATGTTGTTCTCCCTTGTCGTATTAAGCTGCATATGCATATAAATAGTTTAAGAAAAAACAGTGTAAGCACTAAAAAAATAATTCTTGTCCTTGTTGTTGTCGTATGTATTTTAATAGTTTCTCCGTTTAAAAAAAGATGACCTAGTTTGATTTGGAACGGAGTTTAGAAAAAGAAAAAAAAAACTTTTTAATTTTGTGGTTCGAAATAAAAGTTATGTCAAAAATCCTTTAATCTTATACTATTAAACATGTTACTTGAAAAATTAAAATTAAAATGCTGCTAAAAATAAAAAGAAATCATTCTTTTTGAAACAAACTAAAACTAAAAAGGAAATAAGGTTTCTTTTTTAAACGGGGTAGTAATAAGTTTGTCTACCACTCAAAAAGGAAATTAGACCACAAAAAATGCCTTTTGAGTAAGTAATCAAAAATAAAGTGGAAAAAAGTAAGTTCGAAATTTTGGTATTTTTATATGTGAAAACAAGATGAATCCAAATCTTAAGTATTGGTTTTTTTAATTCTTCAGCTAAGGTAAAATATCATTATTTGATAATATAAGAAGAAAATAGCAAATCATATACAAAGAAATAAAATATGAAAAATACCTCAATGAATGTAATACAATTTTTTGTAGAAGTTCCCGTAGACAGTCGATCCATTTCAGCGGTATAATTTCCCCCAGAAAAAGCATCCCACTAGAAATAAGAAATCAAAATCAAATGATTAAAAAAAATCATGATTTGATTGTCAAATATTAATGCATGATCAGAGTATAAAAGACCATATTATAATAAAATAAAATTAACTATGCATAGTTAATTCTAACAACATAATCTGAGAGCCTAATATTGATAGATAAGTAGAATTTATGACTTCATCTTGATGGTTTTAAAAAAATATTAACACTAGACCTATTGTACTTTTAATATTATGAGTTACGATTCTCATATTTATTGAATTTTTTTGTGAATTGCACATGAAAATCAACACAAGGATTGAAAAAAGTTGATAATACAAGGGTACTTTGAAGGGTTATTTGATTAAAAAATAAGTTATATAGGTTGTTTGATTTATTGCATTAAAAATAAATATATACAGTGCAAAGATACATATAATAAGATCTTTGTTTAACGACAATATTTCGCTATGATATCTAACTTTCTTTGGAGTTGATGTCAATATCATATTAATATAATATGTTCTTTATAACAACCAAAAATATAAATGAACAAACTACAATATTATAAATAGGTTTGACACATACCTGATATCTTGTGTTGATATCGTTGAGAAGATCAAAAATAGTTTCAAATGAAAGAGGAACCCACAGAGAAGTAGCAGCAGTAACAATGAAGCCTTTCGATTGGGTAGTTTCTTTATTTTTTCTTATCGAAACTCTATCTTCGTTATTCAAAAGTAATGAAGTTGAAAAATCTAATTTATCTGTCATACTTAGGATTTCACAAAACCTCTTCACCATTCTTTGAGATATGTTCATCGCATTTTTCAAGCCTTCTGAAATATCATTAAAAAAGTAAAAATTAATATTGACTTATCAAATTAGGGTGTGTTTGGTGTGACAAGGCAATTTTTTAAAAAATAATTTGTTTTGAAGAAAATATGAAAAAATTTAATGAAAATTGATCCTTGATAATAATATTAGCAAATCTAGTGTTTTGATGATATGTTCAGGTGTTAAAAAAAATGTGAAAAGTGATCATTTTTCCTGCTTCTTTGTTGGAAAATATTTTTATGGAAAATAATTTATTTTTTATCAGAAACACACTATCCAAACACATGCCTAAAGAAAAACAAAACTTTACGGATATATTTTGAGTTAAAATTGTGATAATTGCAAAGAAAAATGTCTTTTACCCGAAGATAAAAGAGGTGATCAATTTTCAGACCTTTTAGACAAAAATATTTTCTCTAGTTAAACATTGAAAAATAACTTTTTTTTAAAAAAAATAAGAAAATCATACCAAGCACACTTTTAAAGCAAAAAAAAAGAACTTTTGAAAGGAAGGAGACGTTTCAAATAAACAAAAAAAAATTAATAAAAAGCATTGATTTAAACCACATCAAGATTTTCATTTTTTTCTAATCAAAGCTGCCTTGAGATGATTCATTTTACATTGACTCTTATCTTATTTTATAGAATATTTTTGAAAAGTCATAAATAGTAAAGAATGAGATATAAAACAGAACCTCCTTTGAAACCTGTTGTAGACATTTCATTATTATATCTCTCAGACGTCCTTTCAAGTGTAGCAATCCATCTTTCAGCTCCATATATATGACGTCGACATAACAAGTGTCTAAAGAGATGATTCACCTCATGACATTTTTCATCTATTTGAACATGTTCAATCCATGCAACCTACAAGACAAAAACTAATCAAGAAAGCATAATAATAACTTGATCATTGGATATACATAGAAATAAGGTTGTTATCATCATACGTGTAAACTTCTACCTATGTAAAAACTTCTTGGAAAATAAGCTAAATGTAAATAGTGATATTTATCATCGGTTTGAGTTATCTAAACAACCTCTTATAAAAATGCAAGATAAATATGTGTGCCCTTGTGGTCCGACCCTTTCATAGAACCCCCGCATAGTAAGTTTTTAGTGCACCAACTACCTTTTTATATAAATAGTGATTAGTTGAGAGAGAGAACGTAATTCTTACCACACTTCTGCCATCGCCTATTTCTTGAATTAAACAACCAGAAGGAAACTTCCAAGCATAAGAAGGTGCACAAATTTGAATCTCTTTGAATAAATCATAAGAAACATCCACCATTATCCATGTTGTTGGTTGAAGTTGTTTACAACAACGTATGAAGACAAACTCTCTAGCTTCAACTAGAGGAGATAAAATATGCATCTTTTCATACATCTGTTTTCAAGAATCAGAAAAAAATTAGATCATTTTTGTGAAATAATTTTAATATCTATTTAATTTTTAGGAATTCTTTTTTAAAGTTGAATTAAAATTTTACCAATTGTATAGAGACTTCTGTATTCCCAGAATCAAGAACATCAACAATCTTAGCTTTTGTGACTATAGTAGGAAACATGTTCATCCATTTGATCTGCATGTACAGAATCACGATTAATGATTATAAAAAATATTAATTACGCCTAAAAAAAATTCAAAAAGCTATCCAAAAGTTGATAGCACACAAACTATATACACTTTATAAAGCACATGAGAGATACTTATATATAGCGATTAGCCTAAGCCCAAAGAAAACAATATAACTTAACTTGTAAATTGAATTGTTTTAACATAAAAAAAATTAAGTGACTTACTGGATTACGAAAATTGTTGATCAAATCAATTCCAGTCATTGGCACAACTCCAAAATACCTTGATGATTCAATTCGAGCAGTTGATGATTTATAAGGTCGATTTGAATTTGGAAATGTTGTATCATAACCCTCACGATGAATAGTCCACCCTTCATCGACTGATGATTTTATCCAAAGTGGTTTATCCACATGCACAAGTCCAAGCAATTCATTGATAGCAGGAACAACTATCTCAAAAATAATTGATTTCTCCCCATTACTATCATCATGATGAAACCCATAATTTTCTTGTTCTAATTTTGATATTATTGGGATATTGTTCATACGTATTCGAGCATTGTAAATGTCATTATTATTTCCCGAAGAAGTATGTTCAATGGACGAGCCACATATAGTTTGCTTCAACAAAGATTTATCAGCCAGAGATTCAAGAGTAGAATTTGAATCCATCACAAAAGACTTCCCATCATAACTTGAGATGATATTTGATATTCTTTTACGCTGCAAAATAAAAATAATAATTGCTAAGTTAAATTACATACTATATTTATATTAAACATGATTTTGTGAATGTAAATATATAATGTATATAAATATATGTTGCATCAATTTCCTTCTTTCTTCTCTTCAATTATTCCAACGACTTCTTCTACTACTAGAGTCAATCGACTTAGAAAAGAAAATATAAATTCACACTTTTAATAGGTATCAGAGCAAGGTCTCACAACTTATTTACTAACAATAAGTAAAAATCTCTATGATGGGAGAGTATTGATAGTCGGCATGCTTGAAGACAATCCTATTCCTCTTAGAAGGAAGATGAAAAGATAGTATATGATTGTCAAAAATCAACTGAGCTAGTAACTTAAGAAAAATATATTTATGATTAGTCAAACAAATTTCAAAGCAGAGAAATTAGTGTCGGAATAACGAAGACAAGTTAGAAAATGAGAATGATAACATGGTCAATGTATGGTTTATGAAAATCAGCGAATCTAGTGAGCTCAGATCTAAAACTTGTAATAATTAAGTTTAATTAAAAGAATTATTAGATCATGATATATTTGACCTAAATCGAGTCTTAAATGATTTTTAAAGCTATTCAAAGAGAAATGAAGAGTAGGAAATATAATTAGTTTAACTATAAGGAACAAAGTAGACCTTATTTTGACCCATGTATCTGAGATACATGTATCTAGATGCACCGATACATGTATCTGAAATTTATCTAAGTAATGTATAGACAATTCTTTTTGAGCGAAAATAATTAATTAAAAATAATAATTAAAAAGATTGAATAAAAGGCTTACCTCCTCTCTCAACTTTTGAATGTTTATCTTCATTTTTTCTACATTTCTTGCTCTCTCTTCTTCTCCAATGGATGGACCATCACTTTGTGAGCCCATGTTATTTTTAATTGCCTCTTTCATTGCAATAATCTCTAAACGCAATGTTTCATTTTCGTTTCGAAGAGTCTTGTTGTCTGATCTCTCATCTTTTGTCTGAGGAAATATAATTAATTTAAGATGTTAAGTATAGTCGTAAATAAGAAAAAATATAGTTTGTTCGTAATTACTCAAATAACAAGAAAATAAGGTAAGAAATTTTTTTTTGGGTTATCGTAAGAAAATTGGGTTACGGTCCATTTTAAGTTTTGGAACTTTTTAGAGAATTCATCTATTTTAAATAATTTAACATGATTCTAATTCAACAAGAAGAAAATAAATAATTGATTTAAGAAGCTATATTGAAATTGAAACGTAAAATAGTCAATAATAGAAATAATTGTATACAGGGGAAAATTAAAAAGATGAGGAAGTAATTAAATGTACTGATTAATATTATAGAAAGAATTTATTCTATTTAATTACACATTCGAAAAATTTAACCAAGTTTAAAAATATATTTTGGGGCCCAACCCTAGAGATTCACTGGCCTTGACTTCGATCTGACCCTACTTTTAACAAGTCCTTTTTTGTCCTCTAGATTTTTGCATGATATAATGGAAAAAGATGTATTAGTTCATCATTGTGTGCAAATAACAATAATAATCCATCAATTAAGTATAATTAACTTAATAGTAAAAGGACTAATCAATTACCTTTGATTGAGTCCTTTTATTTTGAAACCAACCCTTGACCTGATCAGGGTCAAGCCCTACTTCGAAAGCCAGTTGATTTCGTTGGTCCTCGTCTGGAAATCGACATATCTCGTAAAATCTACATTTCAAAATTCACAAAAAGATTTATTGTTATTGACCATTAAAAATATGGTGAATCGATACGTATATCTCTATCATTAACTAGGCTCTGAAGTTCGAATTGCTGGAATGAAAGTCGTCCTTGATAGATAATATTTTACAATCAAAACAAGACTTAATTCCCAATGTGAATTTAGTCATAAAGATAGTATTAGATACTCATCTTGGAACTAAATATTGATCATTAATCATTTATCTTTAATTAGAGGCCTCATGTTTGTGTTTTGAGACTTTGTGTTGTCATCTTTAATCTGAAGCATTTTATTGATGTAAATCTAAATTAGTTGAATCCTAAATAGAACTTTCCGATGCAGAGGGCCGAATTAGTGGATCCCTAAATTAAGACTTTTCAATGAAAGTTGAGCCCCAAAAATGTATCAAATAACACGAGAAAGTGAATGAGTTTTTTGGTTAAAAAACCAAAAAGGAATTAAAATTAAAGAAAAGCACCGCCTTATGCTAAATGTAATAATAAATTATAAAGAACAACCCAATGCACCTATAAAAGATTTATTATATACACGGTAGATCATATCGTTAATGAATTTTGATTTTTCACTCACATTTCTTAGGAAAATAACACCATATCTAGACAAACAAAATCAAAAAAATAATAAATCAACATACATGGAGGTTCAAATATTATTATTTTTTTGAATAAAATTAATCTTACGCTTCAAGTCTCTGAGTAGCCTCCACAGAGTGCCTCTGACCCTGTCCTTTCCTTTTTGATGCATTTCGGCGTGTTGACGATTCTCCAACATGTTTTTCCCCCGAATCTGCCATTTTTATTGCTAATTTTCTGTTCAATAATACAAAATAACAAAAAAAGAACACAAAAAACAGTCTTAATATCTTTGGTTTATTTTTTACCCAATCAATTTATTTATGAAGCAACTAGAATTGAACAAAGAGAAAATAGATATATAAGAGAGATTTTTACACACCTTTCGATTGAAAAAAACATGTCATAAGTTGATAGTAAGTGATCTATTTATATAGTCGAAAATTAACTAACTTGCCATGTTAAAGACACAGAGAATCTAGTATTGCAATATAGTAAGAGGGGGTATAATAGGGAATATAAAATGTGAACACAAAATAATATTTACGATCTATCCATTTTCCTTTAAAAAAAATAAAAATTGGTATGTAATTAGTATTATGGTATGCTATTTAAATATTATCCATAAATGGACAAATAATTATAACCTCCCTCAAGGAACAAAGATTTACACTCCAAATTAAGTAAAGCTAAGGCATTTAGATTTTTTTTTGGTAACTGAAAAGTCACATTCTCTCACCTCTATTTCTAGTCAAAATTAAAAGCAAGTGACTTGCAACTGGATCCGCACAAATCATAGTCAATACTCAATAAAAATAAATCGAAGATATAAAGCCAACCTAAACTAAAGTATTATGGATTAAATTTTAGTCTAAAGTCCTAAAAATGGAAAAAAGGAGAGTAATAATGATCATACAAGCCTAATAATTCATCCTACATCCGTCCTATTGATCATGAAACTCAATTTTATATAGAAACTAACTAACCTAATTAAAAAAGTGAAGACCATAACCTACATTAGCTAGCGTTTGGCCATAGATATTCAAATATTTTTGGCAAATATTATTTATTATTTGAATGAAAATTTGGGTGAAATTTTACCATGTGTTTGGCCATAGAATTTGAGAAACATATTTCATTTTTTTAAGAAATTTGATTTATACCCATAAGTTTTTAAAACTATCAAACTAACCATAAATTTGTATTACATAGCACAATAGAAATCTCATGTAACAAGATTTATGAATTCCGCTACAAATCAACAAGAATCATTACAGTAAATATTCGTATAGTGAAAGGGTCTTGATACAAATCATGATAATGAAAATACAACTAATATAAATTCGGAAAAAAAAAAGAGAAGAAAACAAAAGGAAATAAATATTGCAATCACTGAATAACCTATGTTTTCTCATCTGAAAGAGTTCAACCTATTCTTTAATATAATTTTCCCACATTTTATGAACAATCTCTTCTCGATGAGCTTGCATTTTCGAATGAGACGATCGAGAAGATGAAGCGATGTTGTTACCTTGAGTCAGTAGTTCGTCACTTTCATCAAAAACCATATCATTATTTTCATATTCATTGAATATTCCATCACTACTTTGGTGTTCACATAAAAAATTATGCAATACAACGCAAGCAATTACTATTTTCACTTGCATGTCACATTCATAGTTGTTCATGCCTTGTCTTAGTATTCTGAATCTACTTTTCCACGCACCAAAAGTTCTTTCAATTACATTGCACAGAGAAGCATGTCTATAGTTAAATAGCTTTTTTCCATTCTTAGGCTCTCTTTCACTTCCTCGGTAGTCCTGCAAATGATAGCACATTCCAATGAATGGAGCTAAAAATCCTCTTGTGTTCCATAGACCAGCATCAACAACGTAATATTTATCTACCAAAATAAAATAAATGTAATTCACATTTTATTTAGTAGCTAGTTCATTAAGACTAACTGTAACAAAGGAATGTACGAAATCAAAAGAATGACAAAAGAATGCATGTAGAAGGAAGCTAATTGAATTGGTTGGTGTCAATAAATATATTATTTTTGTAAAATAAAAAGTTAAGGATAAAAATTGAATTTCTAAAACTTTTCAAATAATGAAATTTGGCCCAAATACTAGTTTTTTCTAATATTTGAGAATTTGAAAAAATTGCCAAATAATAAAAAAGTGTATGGACAAACAAAATTTATCAAGTTTTTCCCAAAATTTTACTTGCAAAATTTATGGCCAAACGGGCCACACTCAAATCTATAATCATGAGCTTTTCCATTCTGAAGAGCCTTGAAATGTTTCCATGCTATATAAATTAGAATATATATGTCAACACGGGACTAACGATATCCATGACATTGTTATGAATTTTTTTTTTAAAAAAAGGGATAAAAAATTGACCCTCAAAATTCTGTCAATGAAATGGAAAACTAACTTCATCATTATGTTCCCCTCAACGCGAATATCACATGCCTCAAAGTTAGACGAAGAAGAAAATCAATTTAGACATAAAATGGTCCAACATTAAACTTTAAGGAAAAAATAAGGATAAATTACCTATATACACATCTTTATTTTTCATAATTTCTATTATTTTCTATTATTTAAAAATATTTCTAAAATTCCTCTTTTTCCTTTCAAATTCATTGTTCCAGATACATAAAATTATACACGTTTTTCTTTCTATTTTTACTCCTTATTTCACTCCCTCAACCTCTTCCTATTTTTACTCACTCTATCTCTTTCTATTTTCACTCCCTCAATCTTTACTTCCTTCATTTTTTAATTTTCAGATTTAATTCTCTCTATTTTTAGTAATATCTCTTCACATTTTTTTTGTTCAAAACAACTCAAGTTTTCGCTTTATAATTTTTTTCAAAGAATTACCGGATTTTTCTCCATTTTCACCTTCACAATATGCATAAGGGAAAGGTAAAACATATGATGTATTCATATTGTTTACTGCAAAAAAATCAGTTTGCTGATGAAACTACATTATGAAATGAAAAGAAGTAGTCTCTACCAAATGTATCATTTGTTCATGTATCAAGTGTTGCTATGTATCTTCTACGGTTATTCAAATTTAGAAAAATATGTTTTCGTACACAATATCAAATTATATTCGTGATACATTTGTGAGCGAAGAAATCGAGAAAGGACACATGCTCGAGCTTTAAATCTATTGTTTTACAAATTTTCAAAATCTCTCATTTTTGCACATTAAATTAATGTATCAGCGCATCAGATTAATATATCTCACACATGAAATTAATGTATCATGTATAAAATGTAATGTATCTTACTTAATGATTAATGTATCAGCGCTTATTTTAGTTATGATACGTAAATTCAAATTTATACTAAATGTATCCGATACATAACAATTACCAAACAGTAATGTATCAATCTGAAACAATTACTATAATGTATTTTTAAAAAAATTTAAAGTGTTGTATTTCTCAAATAAAATAACAGACATAAATAATAATGTATCAAACACTATTTTTTTGGTTATGATACGTAAATTTAAATTTATACTAGATGTATCTTATACATAACAATTACCAAACAATAATCTATCGATCTCAAACTTAAAATCTTATGGGCAACACTTACTTATTTAATGTATCTAGTAAAAATATAATATTTATCAATTCAATCGAAAGGATCTTCATGATCTCAAACAAAAGAACATACATAAATGATAATATATCATGCGCTAATTTTTTATTTATGATATGTAAATTTGAATTTATGCTAAATGTATCTGTAACATAACAATTGTCAAATAATAATGTATTGATCTCAAACTAAAATTTTATGGGCAACACTTTCTTATTTAGTGTACCTAGTAGAAATACAACACTTGTCAATTTAAATTGAACGGATCTTCATGATGTATCTTCTAGAAAATTTTGATAATTTTTAATGAAAATTGAAAGAATCTTCAATGAACTAGGAGAATAATTTTGAAATTCAAAATTTTCGTCAAATTTGAATCAAAATGGAAAAGATCTTCAATGACTGGAGAAGAATATAGAATCTCAAAATTTTCAATAATCTTGAATCAAAATCGAAAAGATATTCGATGAACTTGAAGATTTACAAAAGAAATCGTTTGTCCAACAACAATTTCATACAATCCTTCATAACTCATCCCGCTTTTCAAAATTTTGATATATTTTTTTTATGAAATAGAAAGAATGATGAACAAGAAGAAGAAATTTAATTTTTTAATTTTTTTGGGTTGTTACAATATAAGATTTTGAATTCTTGATAATAATTTTGAATGAAATAATGTAATTTGTGAAATCTTAATTTAATATTCAGTTTTCCCCCTAAATTAGTGGAACAAATGGATACTATGAGATTTTAAATTGATTTTACAATTTTTTTTCCTTAATAAGTGCAACAGATTGATACATAATGTATCAACAATAATGTATCTGAATCCTTAATTATGTATCTGAAATATCTAAAAAAATATGAGATTTATGTAATTATAAAAATAATAGGAATAGAAGGTAAATTTAAATTTTACAGTAAGGTATTTATGTAAGTTATACAAAAAATAAACCAAGAAATTTTAGCTTGAAATGGAATCAAATCGCAAAAATAAACTAAAATACGCGATCGAAAGCAATCAAGGAAAACGGTGTAGAGTTGAGAAAACCTATAAAGACCAAGCTCTAACCCAATTTTGACACGATGAGAGAGATAAAACACTAGCGATGACTGCAAAAACGGCGAACACTACAAAAAATAGCCTAAATAATGAGGTTTTGTTTTACAGATTGTGAACCCCTGCAGTTTATTGTACCAGAGGTTTCACCAACCCCCAGAATTAGGTCTGCCACAATTAAATTGTGTAGGTTTTTCGCTAATCCTTGTAACAAGCAGTGGAGTTATTTTGTGACAGTTTAAACTTCCGTAAATTGATTCTCATAATATCATTTAAATTTCATAGGTCACAACCTTTGATAGTAATAACACAATAGCAGGGGTGAAAACCCCTACAATTCATGAAAATATTAATTATCTTTTTTTTTAATCAATAGAATAGAGCTTTCATGAAAATATTAATTATCATTTTTTTTAATCAATAGAATAGTGCTCTAGCCCATTATGCATAAAGCTATTAAGCCAATAATTGTTCAAACAACCATAAAAGTAATGATACTGCTGTCAACAATCCAAAAAGGTACAGTATAAAAAGCAATATCCAACAAGTTACCGTATTTAAAAGTAATATCCTCATATTTTTCCATTTCATTTGTGTTACACAGATTTCTAACAACTTTTCAAAAACGTTAAGAATTGGACATCTAGTAAGCTAAACTTCATCACTATGAGAAGTTTATTCATCAGAAGAAAAAGAAAAAAAAACTAATACATGTTAAAAGACAAATTGCTAAAAAATAGTTGTTCATACATCCTCATAGCTAGGCTGGTTGTGGAAGTGTCAAAAGAACAATCGTTAATGCACTCCCTCTTGATGGCACACATAACATAATCTTTGGAATCCTCATCAAACCTTCTAAGGAAAACAACAGAGAGTTCATAGTAGTGCTGCAAGTGAAGATTCAAAAGTGGCTATTCATGATGTTGATTCTTCCACAAAATTGAATAATTCTGTCACAATTGTTTCAGCAGAGGAGAAGCTAGCTTCAGTTAATGTCAAAACTGATAGATCAACAAAACTACTTAATGAATCTCCTTTTTTTGAAATATATATATATATATATATAATGTCCAAACAAAGACAATGAAATATAACGTTCTCAAGCAGTTAAACGTTCTCTTTTTGGGCTGAAACCCGGAGCACAATAATAGCTTCCAACATAACAAGCTCGACCCGATGAGGAACCTGCGAATCAAAATCACAAAACCTCCAAAAGCTAAAGACACTGCACCCACAAATAACTAAGTCGAACAAATTTGAGGAGCAGTAGGGACACACCTTCAACTAGAAACACAATAGGCTTGAAGTTGTTTGATATTCAACTCTGAAGTGTAGCAATCTTCTTTTCTTTTAAAATAATTAACCTAAATAGCCGCTCAACCAACCATTTAAAACTAAAATTCGATCATAAGTTTGTAAGATCTTTCCATCCATAGTGTTAGACACCCAATTTTGCATCTCCACCATATAAGTTAATCATTTCGAGCTTCTTTTATTTCAAACGATTTAAAATAACTAGTTTTACAAAATTTTAAGAAAAAAAAATCCAAAATTTGTAAGTCATTTTGAATAACTTACAAATTAGTTTGTCACTTGTACATAATTAGTTTATTTTATAAATATTCAAAAATCATATAAAAAAGATTTTAATTTTTAGTAAGTATTTTATTAAATTAAATTAGTTTAGCTTAAATGATACTTATATTTCTTCGTGTTATTAGTTTATAACTAAGGTAATTATTTTATGTCGTTAAGATTAAGATGTTCTTTAATTAATTTATGCAAAATCGCCTTGTTCAGATTGTGACCTAGTAAACAGTTAATTTAAATTTGGGTACGATCGAAATTCATTTGGGTTTCGTTTGACTATATTTCCTTGGCCATTGATGCAATCCATTGCTATCCATTTAAGTTTGATGATTTCATTTTTTAGCCCATTCGAATTCTTCACACATTCCAACCCAACCCAATTCCCTTTTCTCATATAAAACCAGAAGCCCGAATTCCCATCCCCAATTCGACCCAGCCCAATATCACCCTAACCAAATCTAACTCTCTTGAAAAATTAGTAAACTAGTCAAAATAAATAACATATTTAGTATAAATATCCATACTTTATAAATATTAGCAATAATGTCAAAAATGTTATTATTTTAAAAAATTTATGTGTCCCAATTTTCTTCCTATTTTATCTCTCTTTTTCAATTAATTCTATATATCCTTTTTTTAGAAAAAAAAATCATTCTCTCTCATATTTATCTTTTCAAATTGTTAATTCTCCCCCATTTAATTTTTTTCTCTCTCATGGTTATCTTTTCTGATTTTCCTCCAACATTCAAGTTGCAAATATTTTTTTGCCATATATTTTGGTTGTTTTTTTAATCCAAAATTGAATCAACTAGAATCCTTTTGATTAAGGTATCTCTAATCTTTATCCTATTTTCAGATTTCTTTTCTAATTTTATTTTTGTTTAAATCTTAAAAAAATATTGTTTGTATTTTTTAATTTCCGTTATGATTTACTCTCCAATGGCTGAATCCAAGAGGCTTACTAGAGGTATTCATCTTAATCAACCAATTTTTGGTGACTTTTCATCCTTTAATTTATTTATTATTTAACAAATAGTGTATAATGTATGATCCGCTGCTAAAATGAGGGAAGAAAGAGGGTAAGAACATTTGCAAGACTCATTGGTGTGCAAAGCCTTCCTCAAATTCAGAATGCAAATGTAGAATCTTTGTCTACTCGTGAGGATCTTGAAAAAGATGACGAAGATCGGATAGTTATCGAACAATTTTCTATTAGTTTGTTTTGTATTTATAGTTCTTTTTTATGAATCTTGTATTTGTCCCTAATTTGTATTCATCCAAATATATGTCAACTAGTTATGTATTTTATTTATAAGAAGAACAACTTTCTATTAGTTTATTTGTATTCGAATACAAATACAAATAATAGACATATTGAAATGAATACGACTTAGAAAAGGAAACAAGATTTTGAAAAGAAAAATAAATACATAGTGAAAATATATACGAATACAAATGTATTTCTTAAATAGCTACATTTTATTTGACATACATATTTGAATGAATACAAACTAACAAAGGTGTGTCAACTGAATTTGATATTTTTTTCTAATTTGTATTTATTCTAAAGGTATGTCAACTAGTTATGTGTTTTATTTAAGAATGAGTACACCAAATATTCAATTATTTCTTTTCAATTTTATATTTCATTCACTTTTTCATCATACTAATTCCCAACAAATGACCCGGCCCACGTCTGTTTCTTTTTCCCAAAGAAGAACAAAAAGACGACATCAACGACAAAATGCAGTGCCGAAAATGCGCGTGACCAAACGAAAGCGAGATCGCCCAGCAACCGCGAAGTCCAGTGGCGATTCGGCCCTCTCTCGCGTCGTTCTTTCTCATTTCCCCTTTTCCTGTTCAGTACAAGGTTTCCAAGAAGAGCAGCAAAAGCCTGAACCAGCCGCGTCTACTCGTCCTCGTGACTATGAGATGACACCACGTCGAGCTCCAAGAATTCGAGCCGTTCACGTCCATATCAACTTTGCAAATTTTGGTCAAAAATCGGGTATTCTCGAAAAACCCAACAGTCTCTTGTCCTTGAGGGTTTCAAATATTGAAATGGGATTTGGATTTTCAATTTTACCCTCATCCGCCCATTCCCCCCCCCCCCCCCCAAGTTTTTGGAACCATAAAAATCCCCCCTATTTATTTGCTTCAGCGTTCAAAAAAATAAAGGGAGAAGAAAAAAAAAGTTGGGAAAATTTAGGAGACAATTTCTAACGGGAGAAACTGGTAATAGACTTTTGGTTTGAGAATTTTAGTCGCAAAGTTTTAGAGTATAAAATATATTAATATTACATCAAGCGATCATTCACAAAATTTGATCGAGATTCAAGATTTCGCTTGGGTTCCTTTATTGCTACCCTTGGTTATTTTCGTGTGGTGAAGTCGTCGCTCTCTCTCGTCGGTCTCAATTTTCACTGCCTACAGAAAGGTAATGTTTCTTCGTCCTAATATTATTTTCATTTCTTCTCTCGTGGGAGTGATATCCTGATGTTTGAAGTTTTTTTTTTTTTAATTTTCATGATTGTTTGTTGTTAGTTACTGCTAAATTGGTGCTATTTTAATATAATATGTGTATTCATAGTCATTTTTATGGCGTAGCATCGAGCTAAGACCTTGAAGGTTTTGTGGCCTGCTACCATGAAGTTTCGAGTTGTCGTTTTCTTTCTTGGGGTTTGCTGCGTGATTCAATGTTTGGAGCGAGTCAGTTTAGGGGTCGTTATATAGCATGTTGTATCTTGGCTGTCCATCTATGTTTCCGTTTTGCCTTTCTTTCTCGAGCTCTACCTCTTAATGTTAGAAGGCTTGTGTGGTTCTGCCAAAATCATGTTTAAGTATTAGGTGTGTTATGTTTAGGTTGTTCCTTACTATTTGCCTATCCTTAAGTCCTCAGATCAATTAAAATGGCTAGTACATATTATAAAATAACATTCCTTTCTCGTAGTTTGGTTCTAGTTTTTTTTAGTGTCCTTGCGATCTAGCTGCGTAGTATGACTTGTTCAAATCGCGTCTTGTATGTGGATTTTTTGCAGTAAAAAATGTTCAAACTCATGGGCTGAAGTCTGCGCGCTGTGTTTCTTAATATCATTAGTACGTTTGGTAGAAAATTGTGTAATGCGTGACGAGAAGGAAGTTTGTAAGCATTATAGCTTGTTGAGTCTTTCTTTACTTTCTTTATTGAGTTGAAACAATGTTTGGATTGGATTTTTGTTCGTCCTCTATTGGTTCCTCTATCAAAATTTTTCTCCGTTTAGGTATCCCTGTTGACACCCAATTTTGATCCTCACTGATAAAGATTAAGCATCGATCTTTTTCAATTTTTTAACGATTCCAAATAATTAGTTTTATAAATTTTTTTTTAAAAATAGCGTGCAAGTTATTTTAAATAAGTTTTGACACTTTTTATAAACTTTTAGTTAATGTATATGTTTTACGTAATTACATATATAATTATTATATTTTATCAATATTTTAAAATCGGCTAAAAAATATTTTTTGTTTTATATAAATATTTGGTTAATTATTTTAGCTTATGTTTTGAATATTTACTTTATATTTAAATTAACTATTTTATTTTGTTAACATTAATATAAGCTCATTAATTAATTTATAAAGATTTGTCTTATATAGTTTTCAATTTAATCACCTAGTTAAATCAATTTGGCAAAACCCTCAAATCAAAACTAACCCTTTAATTAAATTTAACCAATTCATTCAATTCCTTTTGGGAATAACCAAATTTGGGCCCCTTTTCCCCAACTTTTCAACAACTCATCCCCTGCAACCCAACAACTAATCCCAAGGAAACCCAATACACATAACAAAATACAATTATCGATCCAGTCCATCAATTTTGACCCAAAAGAACCCAATTCCGTCCAGCGTTGTTCCTCCAACGCTTCAACAACAACAAACCGATCCGCCCGACCCAACCTCTGTACTTGTCCTTCTTCCCAGCAGACACAAAGAACCAGAAAACCCAGAAGAATCGCGATCCCAACCCAGACCCAACTCCAGCAAATCCAGCTGTGTCGTCCTCTCCCATCCCTCTCTCCTTATTCTTCTATTACTAGTGATATATTCAAATCATCCAGGTGTCTCCATCTCCGCGTTTCAAGTGTCCTTGCTTCGAAAGCAAGTGCTCAGATCTTTTTTCCTTTGGAAATGGTACAAACTCCAGTTGGTTGAGCCTTATCTCTTAGAGAATTCAAAATTTATCTTTTGAATTTTCATCCATTCTCCCTCTCGATTTCACCCTATTTTTTTCTCCTATATAAACATCCTTATTCTTCAAGGTTGAGGGGTGGAAAAAAGTTGGGAAACATTAGGTTAGCTTTAGAGAGAAACGTAGAGAAAAATTAAGATTACAGAGCATTAAATAGGCAAAATATAGGGCGATAGTGTTGGTATTGTTGAAGTGTTTGAATCATTCATCCACCGTCCAATTTTTTTGTTGACATTTCTTAGTGGAAAATTGTCTGAACGAATTTTATACTTAAGAAGTTTTAGATAGGTCTTTTCACTTAATTCAAAGAAGCTAGAAAGTTTCTTGTTCAAAGGTTAGCAAAGTTCTTGGTTGGCTGTTCGAGCTACGAAGTGGTAGGTGGAAGGGTCGTCGTTGCCTGCTTGTTTAGTCCTAGTCGCTGCCCGGAAGAAGGTGATATTTCCCCCTTTTCTATTTTTTATAAAATGTATTTTCTTAGTTAAGACGCTTTGTATATCATTTTGTTTTCGATCTCACACCTGTATAATTTTCTGCAAAATGATTGAACATGGTTTTGATAGCTGTTTATAATCACAAGTTGACTCATTTGAGGTTCTGTACTCATAGAAGGTGTGTATCTCGACTTGTGTTTAAATCTTCGCTTTTTTATCATTGTTTGATCTTACATCGGTTTGTTGCTCCCTATATCTTAAATATAGTATGTTATGGCTTAGATTTTGGTTCAAATGGTAGTATACCTCTAATAATGTCTGTTATTTTTTTTATAATTTGTTTAAGCTTCGATTTATCTATTGGTTTGCTCTATTTTTGTCTATCTTTATATCATAGTCCCTATTCGATTCGCGACTCTTTCTGAAACACGATTTTGAGTATCGATTCATTAAGTGAGTGTATTTTGGCTTATCCTCGTATTTACTTGAATTTTTGGGCAAAGGACACCAATTGGGTATTTAAATCTTAGGATCACTGTGTTAACTTGGGTATTCGATCTATTTTATGTCTAGCAACGTGTTCTTATGTATTTATATTTGGCTTGCTTCAATTGTTTACAGATAAAGGAATTTTTCTAGTATGCCTTTTCTTGTCATTGTATAATGCACTAAGTGATATAACTTGTTTACATTGTAGGAGTTAGTTTCTTTTGTTGAAGTTGTTAAATCATTAGATCATTTTTATTATTTTCTTGGATTAACTTGCCATGGTTTAGCTTACATTACATTTGTTTAAAGTTAGGTATATTATCCTTAAAATTAGAGAGAACAAGGTTGATTTGGTTTGATAATGTGACTATTCAATACTAGTTATAATTAGTTTGTTCTCTTTATAACGTAAATGTAAATCTTGTTTAGAACTTTCTTTAAAGCCAATCAAACTTAGAGAAAAGGTCCCAACCCTTCTTGTTATTTCCTCTATTGATTTTAGTTTTTGTTGAAAGAATAACGCCCGAATTAGTATTATATATTTTTCACTAGTTGTCCTCTATTTGCATTATGTGGATGTATGTTCCACTTCCCTTGTGCGTATGCTAAAAATTGCTACAGTCATGTCTTGTTGCATTTTTGCTAAAGATGTTATGCTTGTGATTTAGTGGAAGTGTCAATGCTAATATTCTCTCTCTTTATTTGTGTGTGAAACTTCATTTCGAGTTATTGAATCGCGTTTTGTTCTTTGTGATTCAGAAAGGATTTTATATGTTTTGTTCAGCCTATTTTGTTACTCTCTTTATTCAAGCATCATTTTCTGTTTGGTTTGCAAGTTCTACCTCATTTTATGGATGAGAGTAAAGTCTTAGAAGGTGGCTAAAATTAGTGGCGAAATGAATGATTGGCATGTTATTTCCGGACTCCACTAGTTTGCCATATCCCTTCTTCAATTTCGTTTTACTGGTCCGTTAAGTCACGAGATGTCTATTCTGTCATGTGCATAAGCACTTTACTGGAACCTCTAAAAATTATACATTTACTATCATTAGAAATTTTCTTTAGCCTAGCTAGTTCATACATGTCGATTCTTGTTTATTTAATCTTCTTTATAGAATAGTGTTTGCTACAAACCTTTGAGAATTGAGTTAAGATTAGTTTGATCATTGTGAGACTGAGCTTTCCAATTTGTTGTTTGTGATGGGTTTCACTAGTTAAAAATATTGTGTCAATCTTATTCAATAGTGTGTACTAAAAAATGTCATCTAAGATGCTTATTCTTTTTTTGAATATTTACATTATTCTTAGCTTTTCCTAGAACAATTTCTAAAAGGGATAAAGATAGAGTTTACAAAAAACATTGGCCTTGAATGTAAAATTGATGCTCGCTCCTTTTCCTGCGAGTCCTTGGTTATAAGGATAAAATTAGTTTATCCTTTCATTACATGCTTTGACTTCATTATATGGACATTTACTAATTTTATTCTTGTTGTCTTGCATGTGAAATCCACTTGAGTTCGTCACGAACCCTTATCTCCTTCGCTTGCATTTCGAGAGGGACATAAAGGCTCAAAATGCCTTTCGAGTCAAGCGACTCATAAAAATTGACGTACAGGTCCCTAAGTCAGAAGAATTCAAAACATGCCGAAAAGTTGAAGATTTTGGGCCTAGAAGCCCAAATTTATATTCTAAGTCTTGTATTTTGTTCTTCTAGGCCTAAGACCTTGTCTTGTTTTATTTAGGGCAACTTTCACATATACCAAATAAAAAATTCATATTTGTATGATATAGCAAAGTTTGCATAATTGAGCTCCATAGCAAACATATAAATTGTATAATTCGCTATACATATACAGTTGAAGCAAATTGTATAAATGAAGTGTATAAAATAAGAAAGAGAAAGACACTTGGGCAGAGAACTGCATAAAAATGAAGTGTATAAAACGAATTGTATTATTATAAGTGTATAGAACGATTATATACAATTTGAATTTGTATAAAATGAGAAAGAGAGAAAAACAAAAGAGATTTGACAAGAAATATACAATTGAATCGAATTGTATAAAAAGTGAAAGAGAGAAATTAGATACAATTTGAAAATTATATAAAATGCGAAAGAGAGAAAGGCAAAAGAAATCGTCAGGGAAGTATTTTTATTGTATAATTATAAGTGTATTGGACAAAAATATATGTACTTTTATGTGTATATACAATTTTCTCACGCTTTATACAAACATAAACACAATTTATACATGTCGCTTCTGTTTGTACAAGTGAGAAAGGCGAGGGTGGCGAGCGAGATCTGGAAGAGGGAAGAGAGGGGAACAAAAATATCTGTATTTATACAATTTTCTCTGCTTTATACAATTAGAAACAATTTTTATACACTTGTGTTTGAATAAAAAGTGAGGAAGCGAGCGAGAGATTGGAGGAGAGTGGTGAGCGAGATATTTGGGAGAGAGGCGCCTGACAATTTTTCGCAAACGTTTGCTATGGAGCACAATTAAATCAAACCCTAGCTACTCCATTTATTTTAGGTTATTAGTTTGCTATTATATACAATTATCCCTTTTATTTATTTATCATTTATTGTTAGAATTTTAGGACATGTGAAGAAATGGGCCTAAGGCTCGAAACAAAAAAAACGAAATGGGTCCATATACCGATCCAGATGGACATAAACTGGATTTGGACCCAACTCTCTCTCTCTCTCTCTCTCTCTCTTATAGAGCAAATTGTTGGTGTGACATTTTAATATTAATAAAAATACATATCATATGCCACATTATATATCATGTTATGTCTATTGATGGACATTACATTTGTGCCTCTTACTCTCATCAATTTTGAAAAAAAATGGTCATTAGTTTTTAGTAACTTATGTACCACCAACTCTTCATTTCATCCATTATTCTATATTTATGTCTTGTAACTTATGTAACATTTAAGCCATTCACTTGACAAATTTACTACCCTGTATCTCCTATCCATTGCAAGGAAGAATTTATCACCTATAAATAGTGTAGTCTTCATTTGTATTGAGATAGGAGAAGAAACAAGAGAAGTACAAGAAAATATATAGTGAAAAAGATGAGTGGTTTATATTGAGGTTAGTGTAGTTAAAGAGAGAGTTGAGACATAAAAAATATTCTAAGTCTTCAACTATATTCACTATATAAAAGAGAGTATT